AGCGTAACATAAAAAGGAAGGACCTGGAGGAACAGCTCAGTATCAGGCTGCTCCTCGCCCTGATGAAGTGGACTGCAAGGCCCACGAAACGTTGGCACATCAAGAATGGACCAAGACATGGAGAAAACCCGCGAAGCACAGATTAGTTATATAGAAAGCACCCATGGAAGCATAAAGAAGATATATAATGATATTCATTTATGATAATATATTATCGTAATCTAAAATGGCATTGGATGTAAGAAAAAAATGCTATTACGATTTCGTATCGATATATCTATTAATTAAAAATCTGTATTTTATATATATTACAGACTTTTAGTACTGGTGATATATATTAGAACACGGCCTACATTGCATGTGTATATAATACAACTAAATATGTATATAATGCAACTAAATTTCTAAGGTCCGATTCTACAAATATAAGATTAACTTCAATTATGTTTATTTTTTTTTCAATTCTAAAATTGGAAAATTTTCCAAAATAAATCTTACATTGTGGGACCGACCCTAATACACGTCCCTGTTAAGATGGTAATGTAGAAAACGGAATAAAAATATCGATAATTAATCGATCAAATTTCCTGCATGATCATATTAATTTCAGAGGGCGTAAGCAGCTTATACATTGGAAATGAAAACCTGTAATATCGACCTTGATCAACTTCGGCCTTCGCTCCAGCATCCCCTTAAGCATTCACAACGTGTCTACTTCGCGGAAGAACTAAAATGCCTTCAAACGAGAAATAAGCAAGACTAGTCCATTACTTCAGCTACATCCATTTCTAGATGAACATGATATAATCAAGGTGGGCGGACGACTTCAGGCGGAGTTTCGAAAGGAAACATCCCATCTTACTGCCCGCACAATACAAGATCATACGTTTGCTGATCGAAAGAGAGCATCGTGCTTTACTACATGCTAATCCACAATTGCTGCTGGCATCAATACGCCAGCAATACTGGCCGCTAAACGCAAGAAATTTGGTGCGTCAGGTTTGCCGTTCCTGTGTCTGGTGTGCTAGGCATAACCCAAGAGGACTAATACAAGCGATGGGATCCCTTCTCAGCGATAGAGTGCAGCCATTTAGAGCATTCGCCGTCACGGGAATCGATTTTGCTGGATTAATCACTACCCTTATCAACAAAGGACGAGGTCGAAAAACATGCAAATCCTACATAGCATTATTTATATGCTTCGCCACCAAAACCATTCATCTCGAGGCTACAAGTGAGCTATCTACGACGGCCTTCCTAGCCACGTTACGCCGCTTCATTGGTCGGCGAGGTTCGCCTCGAAAGATTTGCAGCGATAATGCCATCAATTTCGTGGGTGCTAAACGCGAATTACAAGAATTGTACGCTTTTCTCCACACATCTATCATTTGGAAAGTTGGCGGCGCGTTGCAGGAGAGAGGCATAGAATGGAGCTTTATTCCTCCATATTCACCGCATCTAAGAAGTCTATGGGAAGCAGGAGTCAAATCCTGCAAATATCTCCGCAGAGTCATGGGCAATACTTTGTTTACCTTTGAGGAATTGACAATGTCTCTCGTGCAGATTGAAGCGTGCCTGAATTCGAGGTCGTTGTCACCTCTATCCTCTGATCCTTCTGATCTGTTAGGTGGGAAATAGTTCAACGCTCGGTCCAAGAATTTTGGAAACGGTGGGCAGCCGAATATGTCCAATTTGCAAAGCCGCGTCAAGTGGAAAACTCGTCAGGAAAATCTCCAAGTCAACGATCTTGTGCTCTTAAAAGAGAATAATCTTCCATCGTCAAAATGGAGAATTGGACGCGTTACCGAAATTCATCCTGGCAGAGACAATTTAATACGTGTCGCGACGGTGCGCACGACCACTGGTATCGTTAAACGTGCAATTGCTAAACTTTGCAAGTTACCAGTGAATGATTCTAAAGGAAGATTAATTGATTAATCTTGGTGGGCGATATGTTAGCGCGTTGACTATGTATGTTATCAATTCATCGATCAATTCATGCGCTCCATGCCCGCGCTCATTAGTAGATAAGTCCCGTCGTGGTAGGACCCGTTGCCGAGAGAGGGAGTTGCCTCGGTACACATGTGGCTGTTGGAGCGACTGCTGTGCAATATGGCGCTGATGGTTACCAACGAAAGGCGAAGGACAATTGGCGGGAAATTAGGTTGAGAATGAATGCTACTCACTGCTTCTGATTTTTATGCCATAAGGCGATTTAATGCAAACTCGATATTAAACTAACTAAATACTAAATACAAATATAGATTAGAAAATAGAGACGTGATTGCGCGTGAAAGACGGCTCGGATACCGGCATTGTGTCGCGAAGTACAATACAAGAACTATGAAAAGACACTCTAAGAAATTATCTGACAACGCTAATAATTATCACAGACATGAACGGTGATCGGTCTCGCGGAATACACAAAGTAATTCGGAACCTTAACTCCTGAGTTCTAACTTACTGACTATCGCAGAGACTTACACGAGGTCCACACGCGGCACGCCATGACACCAGAGAGAGCGAACGGAAAAAGAAACGGAAAGAACGACCACATCAGCGCTGCAGCTAACGCTCGCAACGACGCAACCAACGCTCGCAACGCTCACAATACTCCCCTCCCAGTATAAACGTTAAAGAAAGAAATACTGCTTACAATATCGCTAGAACGAGAATAACAAAAAAAAATAAAAATAAATGGAACAAACAGAACTTATACATATTGGTTTGCTTAACGTCGCTCAGTTCCTGGAGGATGTGGTGGCTGCCCTCTTTCCCAATAGGGAAAGGGAAATACCGGAGAGGGTCGGCCCCCCGTCCGAATGGACGGAGGAGC